CAGTACGTTCACCACAAGTGTCTGGTTTCATTTACCTTCCCATGAAAACCGACGAAAAACTGACGGCCTCTTACGGCAGAATCCTTTAAACTACTGGCGCTCCTTTGAACCCACACCGGAACCGAGTTTGGTAATCTGCAAACAATCTTCCCTCGTGAAGTAGCCTCCCCGACATTTTCGGCTGAAATAGGGCATGCCTTATCCATGCGGCTCAATGACCACACGCATTTATTGTTCCTCAGCTGCTTGTTGGTATCAGAGATGATATGGTACTTCTACATAGGATGAGCTATGTAGCTTTACAGTGCTCATGTGTTCCATGGACGAACTCGCTCAGCTCCTTTGCCTTCTTGTGATGGGACACTCTTTCCTAGTATCGTTTCGTAATCTTCTGTTCAGCTCAGCTGCAAAATATTTGGCTATGTCCATTGTGGATGGAGACCTGCTCATGCATGCGAATGATCATGGTCGCACTAAAATGTCCATACCAAAGACAGTAAGGATTTTATCCCACCAATTTAGCACATTAAACAACACCTTCCTGCAAAAATAATTATAGCAACAAAAAAACCTGATCGATGACTTTTGCCTAATAAAATTTTGAATCTCGGCGCCCATGACTCTGGGACACCCTGTATTACAGTCGACTATCGCTTCAACGAATAAATTCTACAGCATAACGCATCCAACTTACCTAAGTATGCGGTGGTCGCTGAACTCCACTAATTGCTGACGGAGAGCGGTATCTGACGAAACAAGAAATTCGTCCCTGAGAAACATAAGTTAGTTCGAAATTTGTTGCAAATCTAATTCTCCATATGAACACAACTACTTCAGAAGCAGACGCTTACTTGCAGCAGTGAAAAGGTCCCAGAATGCGACAGGTTCCTTGCTGTGGAAGAACATTGCATAAAATATTCGAAGGATGGAACGAGAGTTTGCGGCCAATGACTGCCACAAAACGTCGAGGGAAGACAGCGAGTGGGTCTAAATTCCAATAAAAACACAAAAAAATGAATGAGTAAAATACCGAATAATTAGCTGAATTAAGGCACCAACGGTAAGTGCACTAACCGACTGATTACTTTTCGGGTTGAGCCCAAGTAGAGAAGATTGCCCTGCGAGAATCTCCTGCCATGAGAAAATAAAGGTGTCCGCACGGTAGTATATCCAGTTGAATAATTGCAATTGATGCTTAAATTTCTTTTTTCAAAGTTTTTTCTTCAAATAGACAACAATTTGATTGGGCATTCATAAAACAAATGAGATCGATGCAAGGTATAAAGCCTAACACTTGTATGAAGAAGAGAAGCGTTGATGTGGTCAACAGTGGCCACCATTAGAACCGCATGACTCTCCACCAATGCTGCCAAAACCGATTGTTCAGATGGGTCTCTGAAAAGGAAGTAAACATTAATGAGAATAACAATTATTTCATAAAAATTGAACAGGCATGAAGTGGAACTGTGAAAAGATCTCCTTCCATCTTTTCAGAACTGATCTTTTAGGCAGGAACACAAAAGGGGTAGAATGTGCTCTTTACTGATGATTGATGCAGGGCAGTGTCTCGGGCACACTCTTAATCGTTTCAACAGAAGTCAGGGGAGCGTTTCACAGCTTGACTATGTGATAAGCAAATGTGTCCAAGAAAGCAATCCCGTGGCCGTGCACAAGCAAGGTGCACGCTCCAAAATTGCCTATAGATGAATGAAGGAAAGTAAACAATACCTCAAATTGGGACCATCAATATTGTTCAACAAGACGATGAGCTGTTGTTTATTGCGTTCGATGGTGGACGCAATGTGCTTTGCCCATTCAACGAGGGAGCGCCGTCTCGGCTGTAAAAATGAACTCTTTTCCACGGGTTCCTATAAGGGCGACAGTCAGAGACATCGACGCGCCTATGCTCAACAAATTCGTGGCAACATTAACCACCGTTCGTCGGC